ATATTGGATGAGCAATAATTCCATGGAATGAGCAATAATTAATTAAAATGAAGCGTAAAATGTATATAAAAGGGCAATAATAACTCGTTTTTTTACAACAATAAACGTTTTCTTATCCTCATGAAATTTATATATAACTTTTATACATGACTCAAGCACAACTCATAGCACACTATTTTTCTGATTCTGACAATGACATTGATATGGAAATTCAACCTTCCATTGACAATGAAACAATTGAAAGGAAAAAGCAAAACAGGCGAAAATGGATTCCATTATGCACATACAGTGATAAGAATGATGTTATTAAGAAAATCAATGATGATGGAATATGGAGTAAAACACATACGAATGTCACCAACGAAAGAAAACGGACTTATTATAGGTGTAACCAGGTTTAACTACATGGGAAACCATGTCCAGCGAGTATTCATGTTTTATGCCATAGTGAAAATGAATGTGTGACAATGTACAAAACAGAAGATGATCATTTACATAACGAGTCAAGATCTATTGGTATTAGTTAACAATCAAAAGAAGTAGTGTGCGTATTATTCAAAATGAAAATCAAGCCAAAACGTATACTAGAAATATTAGAAAAAAAAAGTCTACATGTTCCAAAAAAACAACAATTGTCAAGTTATTTAATATCATTAAGAAAAAAATATTATGGTGCTTCAACGATTAGTTTAGATGAACTTGATGCTTGGTGTCAACGAAATTCATTAATACCTGATGACGATGACAAGTCTTGGGTATTAAAATATCAGATTGAATATGAAGATGAAATTAATAAAGATGATGATAATAAAAATAAATTTCGATTTTTTGTTACTGCTAGAAGATTGTTATTTAATGCAAGTATTTCATATAAAATTCATGTTGATGCTACTTACAAATGAATTTGGCAAGGATCTCCTTGTTTTATTATTGGAACCACTGATATGATTACACAATTTCATCCATTTGGATTTACTGTTTGTTCTAATGAAAAACAAAATGAATTTGAATTTATATTTAGTTGTCTTCGTGATGATTTGCTGAATTTAAACTTACAGATGAATGAACAAGAATTAATACTTATTACAGATGATGCTGAAGTCATTAGTAATGCATTTTTAAAAGTATTTGGAACTGATCATAATGTTGTAATGTGTTGGTTTCTCATATGCGGAAAAATGTTGAAAAAAATTTATATTTAGTCGAAGATAAAGCATTACGTGGTGGCATTATGAATGATATTGAAACATTACAATTGTCAACAAATAAGAATATATTTGATATTGCTACTAGATTATTCTTAAAAAATGGAAGAATGAAGACAAATTTCTTCGACGTTTTTCATATGAATGGTTAAATTCAAAAAATGAGTGGCTTGCAGACTTAGCAACGCATGTTCCCAGCACGAATAATGCATTAGAAGCCACGAATCGTGTAATTAAAGATGAAGATACATTGAGGGAACGGTTAGTTTTATCAAGATTTACAGTGGTTTTATATTCCATAGTCAATAAATGGTCAAAAGAACGAAATCCCACTCTTATAAATTCAAAAAAATTCAAACATCAACCATTAATAACACATTATCAGTATGGACTGATGCATACAACTGGGTTAAGCTTAACAAAGATGTTGTATCGATTTTTCATGGGGACACAACACTGTATTATTTACCTGCTGGTGAAGAAACTAGAATCACAGATAAAGAAATCAAACGATATGAAAATTGCAGGTTTAATTCATTTGGCACGTACAAGTCTGTTTACTTCAATATATGGCGCGTATGTTTCTCTAACAATCCTGAAAAATGGAAAGAAGCAACATGTACCTGTCCATCATTTATGAAAAACTTTGTTTGCAAGCACACGATTGGTATATCAATTAGATTAAAATATTACAACCCTATACCTGAAGCAAAAAATGTGACAATCGGTACGAAAAGAAAAAGAGGCAGGCCATCGAATGCAAAAAAAGCTTTATTGATACAATAACGAATTACATATACTTCATTTTTCTTTTTTGTTATATTGTCAATTATAAATCAAAATAATGCACTTCTATCATTTTTTGTTGCTCAAATATGAAATTAATATTGTTATATAATAAATTATTTATTGCTCATTTAATAGTATAATATTGCTCGAATAAATACAAGTCAATTTTATTTATAATCATGACTTTTGATATGATCTGAATAGTTTGAATTTGAATTGTGATTGAAAATAAATTTGATAATGACTTTTTACTTATATCAAATATATAAATAACAAATCTAAAAATGAAAAGAACCTCTTCGATTTATCAAAAAATAATAATTCAATTATGTGTCATAAGAATTAGAAGTCGCTGAATTTATATGTTCATCACAAATCTATCGATACTATCAAAAACACGAGAGTCATCATATATACTTGTATTAGGTTAAGAAATAACCTATACCGTAGTACCATCGTTTTTTTCTTTTCTGTTTTCATTCTTCATTGAACAGTAAGTGAAAATATGAAGTGAGAATATTTAAACAAAGAAATTTATCAAGACCTGTTTGTCTTTGCTTCGTGTTAATATCTCGCGTGNGTGTTAATATCTCGCGTGTAATAAAACGATGAATTAGCACATAGATACATGTATCCCAGTGGATTCTTTGCATGAGTATTTATGACGAAAATTACTCTTCTAGTGTTCTCATTGTTTTGGCTAAAAAGAAAATTATTTTAATTTCTATAATTTTGATTAACTCCACACAGCACGTGCTGAATAATATGTGTATAGGCAATAGAACGACGGCATATTCAAACATCATGGAGTTTCCAATTTTTCAAAAGTTATGAACGAGAGACTATATATTTGTTTTTGAAAGATATGAAATTAGTATCAACGCAAGAAATTCTAAATATGCGAAGATACTAGGAGATACCTAGAAGTCATCGACAGCTTGGTGAAGGTCAGAATATATGTTCTTTAGCAAAGAAAAGCAAGGACTTAAACTCATATACAGGATGGATTCTTAAGAAAATCTGAACCTTGAAATCAGAAAGAGCAACAATTTGTAGAAAACAAACAACATCAAGATTTGTGGCTATTGATACTTCATTAAAAAGTGAACTCTTGTTTGATTTTCGTCTGTATGAAGACTCGAATGTCATGTGTCTCTTTTTTTTTTGAAAAATAACGAACAAAATAAATTGGCATTGTTAGTTT